TGCACCCGAGTCCTGACCGAACTGATCTGGATCTTAAGCTCGAGCTGCCTGAGCACATAGCAGCTGCCCCAGAGCTAATTCACAGGGGGACATGCCAGGAGGACGCGCCGCGGAACGTCCCAAGGGACGCGCGCCAGGCGGCGTGCCAGGGGACGTGACATGGGAAAGCACCGCGGGACGTGCCAAGGGGACGCGCTACAGAACGTGCCAATGGACGTGCCACGGGACGTGCCAGGGGGCGCGCCGCGCGACGTGCCAGGGGGACTCGCCACGGGACGCGCCACGGAACGTGCCAGGGAACGTGCCAGGTTGCATTGCTGTATGTATCGACCTTGATGTACCGTGCCGAGGGCTGTGCAGTGCTGCGCCGTGCTGACTTGCGATGTGCCATGCAGCGAGTGTGCTTTATAGCGTTGTGGATCGAGTCCAACTTTGCATCCGAGTCCTAACCGAACTGATCTGGATCTGAAGCTCGAGCTGCCCGAGCATATAGCAGCTGCCCCAGAGCTAATTGACAGGGGGACATGCCAGGAGGATGCGTCGCGGAACGTCCCAAGGGACGCGCCAGGCGACGTGCCAGGGGACGCGACATGGGAAAGCACCGCGGGACGTGCCAAGGGGACGCGCTACAGAACGTGCCAATGGACGTGCCACAGGACGTGCCAGGGGACGCGCCGCGCGACGTGCCAGGGGGACTCGCCACGGGACGCGCCACGGAACATGCCAGGGAACGTGCCAAGTTGCAATACTGAGTGTATCGATCTTGATGTACCGCGCCGAGGGCTGTGCAGCGCTGCGCCGTGCTGACTTGCGATGTGCCATGCCGCGTTTCGCTCAACACACCCTCAACACATCCTCATGCTAGACATCCGCCTGGGCGAACTGGACACATGAAAACAAGTGGTTCGCTCGAGACATCCTCAACACATCATGTTAGACGTCCGCCTGGTTGACCTGGGCACGTGAAAACAAGCGTTTCGCTCGAGACGTTATCAACACCGCCTCATGCTAGACATCCGCCTGGGCGACCTGGACACGTGAAAGCGAACGTCTCGCTCGATACATCCTCAACACATCTTCATGTCAGACATCCGCCTGGGCGACCTGGACGCTTCAAAACAAGCGTTTCGCTCAAGACTTACTCAGCACATCCTCATGCTAGACATCCGCCTGGGTGACCTGGACGCGTGAAAACAAGCGCCTCTAAATCCTCATGCTAGACATATGCCTGGGTAACCTGGACGCGTGAAACCAAGCGTCTCGCTCGAGACATCCTCAAGACCTGGGCACGTGAAAACAAGCATTTCACTTGAGAGATCCTCTGAATTCTGGTCCCCAGTAAAAGACAATATAGAATACTAAACAAGCGTTTCGCCCGAGACATCCCCAACTAGTTCTGCAAAACAAGCGTTTCGCTGGGGCCATCCTCAAAATTCGCCGGCCCACCCGTTCCTCGCATCTCATCGCGAAAAAAAATCGCCGAACCACCCCACGTCGATCCCGGGGTGAACCTCTAAAGAGAGAAAGAACCCTGGGCCCACGCCCTTCCCGGGAAAAAAGGAGAGGAGAAAAGAAAGGAGACGAAGAAGAGGAGGAAGATGCAAACAACGTGTTGGTCTGCCTCGAGCTGGGTCCAAAAAGCGGCCGAGCGAACGGCGGGACGCAGCCGCTGCGAATGGCGGCGCACGGGCGCAGGCGGGCGAGGGGCGAGGAGGAAGACCGGCCGCGGCGCGGCGACACCCAGTCCTCCTTTTCCTCCTTCTCCTCCTCCTCCTCCTCCTCCTCCTCCTCCTCCTCCTCCTCCTCCTCCTCCTCCTCCCCCCTCCTCCTCCTCCTCGTCCTCCTCCTCCCCCTCCTCCCCCTCCTCCTCCTCCTCCTCCTCCTCCTCCTCCTCCTCCTCCTCCTCCTCTTAAGCATTGCACGACCTTCGGGATGTGCCTGATGGAGCAGGCTCACATTCACGACACGGCCAGTGCAGACGAACAAACCAGGGACGCAGACGGCGCAGTCGGGAGGACCAGGGCAAGTCGAGGGGACGCGAGCAAAACCGATCCTGGCCGCCCTGGGCCCAGAGAACACTCCCCCCGCTGGCAAAGCGCGAAGCCCCTGGCCAGGCGGTGGGGGTGGGATTCTTTCGGATGGGGAGGGGGGAAATCAGATAACGAGCTCCGACGAAGGGTGGGTCCAGCCAGAGAGGAAGAGAAGAAGATGAATAAGAAGAAGAAGAAGAAGAAGAAAAAAAACAGAAAATGAATAGATTTGCCACCCCTGTCTTACCGGGGACGAAAAGGCGTGTGAAACTATTGGCTGTCCCCGTCCCGAATTTCTCCCTCCAATCTCATTTCTAGGGGCCTCCGACAAATCCACCCTACGTGGCCTCCAAAATTCCCGAAATGATTTTCAACATGGCTCGAGAAGGAATCCAACACACCGGAAAGGCCTCAAGATTACTCGAAATGGCCTCACGAAGACCGAAGATGCTCCCAAGACGCCCTTCCGAGGAGGGCTACAAGAGGTTCCCCGAAGAGGGCCTCAGGAGGCAAAAACGTTGACTCCTCAGTCTTCGCATTCTCGCCTTTGAAAGGCGTCTGATAGCCCAAGACGGCGCTAGAGGCTCCCCGGACCGGCCAAACCCAAGGGCCAAGAGGCCCCCAAAGGGCCCAGAGTCGGCCCGAGCTGGCCGCAAGACTGCCAAAAAGGCCTTCAAGAGAGCTTCAAGGTGGGCCCAACATAGGGACAAGAGAGAGAGAACTCGTGAGGGGCCTGTGAGCCCTCCCCCGCAAGATGGCCCCCAGACGCCCAACATGCCCCCAAAAGGCCTCCGAGGGGCTCCCGCGAAGCCCCGGAGGGTCCCGAAGAAGCCCCGGGAGCCTTCCAGAGGCTCCGACGGGGCTGCCCCCGAGACCTCCAAGAGGCCACCGAGAAGCCCCGCGACGGGCGCGAGGGAAGAAGAGGACGACCCAGCAACAAGTGCACTCGGGCAGCACGACGGGCAGCGGCGACCAGAACATACCAGATCGGAAGCTGCACACGCCATCTTCTTTGATGGGCTTGCTTTCCACCACCACCACTACCATGAGTTGGAGGGGGAGGGGGCCCTCCTCCTCCTCCTCCTCCTCCTCCTCCTCTTCCTCCTCCTCCTGTTCCTCCTCCTCCTCCTGTTCCTCCTCCTCCTCCTCTTCGTCCTCCTCCTCCTCCTCCTCCTCTTCGTCCCGCTCCTCCTCATATTCGTCCTCCTCCTCCTCCTCTCCGTCCTCCTCTCCGTCCTCCTCTCCGTCCTCCTCCTCGTCCTCCTCCTCCTTCCCCCTTCCAACTTATGGTGGTGGTGGAAAACAGGCCCATCATTTTTGGTGTCGGCGGCACGGAGGTCTGCGCGTATTGATTGGGTCGGCGCTGGACCCCCTTCCCCTTGCGCGCGAAGCGCGACAGAAGCGGCGCCAGAGGCGCCGCCAGAGGGGGGTTCAGCGCCGACCCTGGAAAGCCGCGCGACCCTCCAAAAGGATGTTCGTGCAATCTGTCCACCCTCGATCGTCACGCCAGAAACGGGAACGGCACCGATGGTGACGATGCACGATGCCCAACAGCAGGCGTTGCCCGAGATGGGCATCGACGCCGTCAGCGACACGACGACGACAGCGGCACGGCGGCGGCGGCGATGACGACGATGACCCCGCAGCCCAAGATGGGCAGCAGCGTCGTCAGCGACGAGACGGCGACGATGGTAGACAACCGCATGCGAACCCTGCCACTGCAGGCCAGATTCCGCGAACCCTGCCACTGAGAATGCCAGCGGGGGGGCCCGATATCCACGTGTCGGTTCCAGTCGCAGAAGAACAATGCCACGAATTAATTCAAGATTCGGAGGTTCGCGCGGATTCCTCGCATCGGCGCTGGGACCCACCTGGCGGCGCCTGCGGCGCCGCCCCTGGCGCGCTCCGCGCCAGGGAGGGGTGTTCAGCGCCGATCCGAGAGATCCGCGCGGACCTCCGAGTTTTTATGTTTATGTCAGTAGTTTTTCCCCGATGCAGAAAAAGTGCTTGCCAGGGGTGAAACGGGGTGTGACATATTTGCCTGTCCCCATCCCCGCTCTCCTCCCCCAGGCTCCAAAATCGCGTGCGAGGCCTCAAGACGCCCACAAAGACGCCCACGAGGCCCCACTTCGCCTGGGGGTCGGTGGAATGGCGCAAGCTTCCCGAACAAGAAATCAGACGCCTAAGCTCTCCGACGTCCGCGCGGATTCCTCGGATCAGCGGCGGGGCCCACCTGGCGGCACCTCCGGGCGGACGACCCGAGGAATCCGCGCGGACCTCCGAGAGTGTAGGTTTTTGCAACTGCTTCATAACACGACTTAGTTTTAGCATGATTAGTATGTTTGTTTACGATTGGCTGTCGTAATATTTCCATTGCTACTATTACACTTATTCTTAATTACTAGCGTTGTGAAGTACCTTCATGTTGGTCGTCATGTTCTTCTAATCCTTATATACGCATAGGGAGGGCAACGCTGTGCGGCCTGGTTTTTGCAGACCGCACAGTGTCAAAAATTAACGTTTCACCGAGGCGAAACCATCACTTTGTATAGAAACCGATCCAAACACACTGTGTTTTTCTATGTATGTTTTTTTTTTGCAAAGCGCACGGCAGGAAAAAATAAAACAACCAAGCAATCAGTTTAAACTAAATCGCAAAACGCATTTTTAAAGAAAAAACTGTTTCCAAGTTTTTCGATTGTGCGAACATCAAGGAAATGCTATACCGCTATTCTGCGGTTGCAAACAGGAAACCAAATAATTTTCATGAAAAAAACAAAAGGACAAGACACGAATAATATGTGTTCAAAGATTTTCTCGCTTATCATTTTCGCTGGGACGTGTTAACCCATTCGCAGTTAGAGAACCGATAACGAAACGCGCGTTTACCATAATTCTAACGCTTGAATCAGAAAAAAATAGAGAGAGAAGGTCAACAGAAAAAATGTTTAACAGATTTTCTTGTCGATCGCAAATTCTAAGAATCTGAGGGCTGGCGGAATGGCATCAGCCATCAGCATATACGATATGCTACATGAGTGCAATATCTGTCCACACAGCGCTTCGTCAATGCATCAGCAAAGTCTCAAGTGCACAAGTCAAACTGCGTGACAACAATATCATAAATGTTGCAATCGTAATCTACTAAATCCTATGTTTTGTGGTTGGCCGTCTTCCTGGCTTAACCAATTCTGCCTTTTTCGACGGGCGATAACACAAGCTCGGCTGCTTCTATATTTCAAGAGGAAGAAAGTTAACGACTTCGCACGTCCAGATTTCATATTCGATCGGTTCCATCTGCGGCAGCTCTTCCTTTACCTTTTTCTATATAGCTGTATATAAGTGGATCCAGCATATCTGGCCCTGCTAAATCCCATGGCATGTCGTCGGGCACGTCAATCTCAGCATCATACGCAATGAATATCCAAAGGAGAACGTGTACTGCCCTGAACGCACCAACGCCTGTCACATTTGAAAGTTTGTTTTCATGATTCTGCAAACGATTCAAATAGCTTCCCAGTTGCATCGAATCCCCGCATGAAGTCTCGTATCCAGTCAGCGTGATACCCGTGATTGGCATTGCAAAGCAGAGCACTACGCTTCACTTCATACGTTGGCCTTCTGCAATGTTCAACAACCCTTTGCTCTCATTCTCTGCAGTCAAGATGACATAACGCATTTTGTCGATTGCAAGATTGCTCCACCCATCGTCAAAACATTGTTTGGTCGTTGGTTCTTGTAATGTTTTTTGACAGAGATGAAGAAAGCCCGCTGGTTATCATGCAAAGCATAATTGTTAATCCTCCTGGGTGCACACCTTTCTCTAAATTGAATATTTCTGCATATTCGCGCCATGCTTTAGGCACTGGACCCCACTGAACACGAGGATTGTGAATCTGAAACAAATTCATCATTGAAGAGATGCACCACGTACTGTTTTCCATTGCTTTTGTAACTGCACACGTTTGCAACTCGCCTGTTTTGCTATACAATTCTGACAAAACAAATTTGTGATCTCGCACCTTCTCAACAGATTGGGACACGCGAAAATCTGAACTATTTGGGCTCATATTTCTTTATGCTCGTTCGATGCAGAGCGCCACCCAAAATTCTGCTGCTCGGCGACAAAAGCCCCCATCGCTTGCGGGAGGCAATTGTCTAACAACACATATCAAAAAGGTGTTTGTCTCTTCGCTCATTACATCGTTGTTATCCTTCTCCCCCGCGAACAGCTTGAGCAGGCTGCGCGTGTCGTCAGGATTCTTCGTGATGAACGTTTGCATCGTGTAGGGCAGGTCGCTCTTGTTGGCAGGCTTCCGATTATCAGGGTAGTTCTCGTAGCAGCTGGACATGGCAATCCTCTCTAGCTCCTTCATATTTATCATTATTTGCCCAGGTCGGTCCCCCTCGAGGTACGGGCGCGGGCCCTCGTAGGGATGCACGAAGTCCACCCACCGAGCGAGCTTGGTCGAACCTTCAGCGGGGATCATCGGAAGGTTGCCCAGCCACGTCTGGTCGGGCCCGGCGTCCTCGGGCATGAGGTTCTTCACGATCGGCTAGGACAAGAGCGGGCTGCGCTTCTTGTCCTGCTGTCGGCTCTGGAGTTGTGAGCACTGGCCATGATCGGGAATTGTGATCACTGGCCGCGTAAAACTTTCAGATTGAGAAAAAGCTTACGGAAAATGCGTATGAAATGATCACTCGGAAGGCGTGTGTCGGGGAGAGGGGAGGGGGGGGAGGAGTACATGCTTTCTGGGACCTAACGCAATGGGTTAACTGAAATAAATACCCCCAGCTCTGAATCAACAGGAATTCTTTTGGGATATTAAACATAAAAAACACACGGAAAACCAAAAAAAAAACAATCCCTGGGGAGGTCTTGGAAATATTTCGTCAACGTTTGTTGGTTTTCTGGTGTTCGTTAGGTTTGTTTGGTGTTTGCTTCACCCCAAAAAATGTTTCTTGGTTTGTCCATCCAGAAACCAAAGGAAAAACCTTGTGTTTTTGTTGGCTTGTCAGCTAGAACAAAAAAACATAAGGAAAACAAGCAAAAACAAAAAAAAACAATCCCTGGGGAGGTCTTTTCCCAAAGGTTTCCGCGGGGATTGTTTTTTTTTGTTGTTTGGTATTCCTTTGGCTTTTTTGGTTTTTCACATCAGAGCCAAAAAAACCTTGTGTTTTGTTTTGGTGTTTCAGCTCAGAACCAAAAAAAAAGAAGGAAAACCGAAAACAAACAAAACCAAACCAATTTCTGTGGAGATTTCCACCGGACCTCCCCAGGGATTGGTTGTTTGGTTGTTTGATGTTCCTTGTGTTTTTTGGGTTTTCGTATTCGTGCCTACAGAAATCCATACACAAGCTCTGGGTATCTGTTTGGGTGTGATAAATATCATATTGTTACCCGCGCGCTTTACCGAAGACCCCTCCCGCCTCATCCCACCGAGAGTTCTCTGAGAACGTCTTTTTGGATTCAAGTCCAAAGGCATCTCGGGCGGCCCCGCAGATCTCCGAAAACCAGGCCGCACAGGGTTCCTTTCTGTATGTATATATATATATATATGTGTGTGTAGTTATGTATATGTATATATACACTATCGTCCTGTAATATCATGTGTCCGATGTAATACTATGCATATTCGTCATCGTGTGCAAACAGCCAAGATCCTGCCGACATCCACCCCTCTTGTCCCTCTCCTCTCCCCCCAGCGCTCCCCCGATCTCGAGGTGGGTCAAGGAGAGGTTGCCCGCCTATCAGCACCGCCATCGTCGCCATCATCGTTCGTGTCGGTTTGTTCTTCGATGTTGCACCCGCAAGCGGTTTGGCCAGCCCCGAGCGCATTCCTATCCCTCAGATTGACAAGCCCAGAGGCGATGACCATCCTAGGGAGGCATCCTGGGGATGCGCCATCAGCACCTGTGGGGCGTCCTTAAAATCGGTGTCGGGATGAGGTGATGCCAACCAGAAGGACAGGGTTGCGTTTCAGGCTAGAAATGCTCGACCCATAAGGGGCCAGTTTTCCGAGCCGTCCAACCGCCTGATGGCCTCCCGCCTCCCCCTTCCCGATCGTGGATGCCTCGAGCCTCGAGCCTCGAGCCTCGAGCCTCGAGCCTCGAGCCTCGATCGTGGATGCCTCGAGCCTCGAGCCTCGAGCCTCGATCGTGGCTGCCTCGAGCCTCGAGCCTTCGAGGCTCGAGAGCCCGCCGCCGCCCTGCCCTGCCTCGGCCCCGGGAGGCCTACGCAAACCTGGCCGCGGAGACGCCCCAACAGAGGACGGCGTCCGAGAGGGGGGCGGCGGCCGCCGCCGCCGCCCTGCCGAGCGGTCGGACCCCTTCCCGCCACGGCAGCGAACCGACGACGACGACGACGGCGACGGCGACGGCGACGGCGACGACGAAAACCGACGCCGACGGCGGCGGCGGCGGCGGCGACGACGACGACGACGACGACGACGACGACGACGACGACGAAAACAACGACAAAAGCGACGACAACGACGACGACGACGACGAAAACGACGACGACGACAACGACGACGACGACGACGAAAACCGACGACGACGGACGACGGCGACGACGACCACGACGACGACGACGACGACCGACGACGACGACGACGACGACGACGGCGGCGGCGACGACGGCGACGACGACCACGACCACGACGACGGCGACGACGCGGGCGCATCGACGCGACGACGGTGGCGGCGACGACGGCGACCGCCCCGCATCGACGACGTTGCCGTCGCTGGCCGACCGCGGTCCGCCCGCGGCCCCGCCCGCGCCGCCCCCGAGCGCGCGCCTCGCAGCTGAACACGGAGGTCTTCTCGCGCAGCTTGCGGCCCTTCTCCTCGAGCCGCTCGTAGACCACCCGCGTGCTCTCCTGGTGCGGGCAGCACTTATATCCATATCCAGAGCGTCGTGGACTTTTTGGGAAGAGGTGCCGCAACGCCGAGGCGCACTGGATATGGATAAAATCAAGCCTCTTGGGGCCAGATTTTTATCCATATCCAGTGCGTCTACAGTTTTTGGGGAAGAGAGCCCAAGAGTCCAAGACGCACTGGATGTGGATATGACTATTGCCCCCACCTGGGCCGGCCGCTTCGCGCTGCGGGCCTCGCGCCCGCGAGAGGGCGCGGCCATCCCCGAGCTCCCGCTCGGGCGAGGACGAGGGCGGGAGAGGACACGGGGGAGCACAAGACCGCGGAGGTCCCTGGAGATCTCCAGGAGCCTTCGGAGGCCTCCAGGGACCCGGGAGGCAGAAACAACAAGGGAGAGGCAGAGGGAGAAAGAACAGTATAACAAACAAGCATGATAGGACCGACAAGACGACCCTTCTGGTAATAACGGAGGCTGCCAGGGAATGTGCGCACCTTCGGTTTGCGATTAGCGTCGGTCCATCCATAGATCCAACTACCCATGTATACTTATGTTGACCAACGTGGATCCCAAACATTGTGTTCTAGCGTATGGTACGATGTAATATGTAAGATGCAGCCTACGCAGTGCAATCCGTGCAGTGCCATCAACGCAGCGCCAATCAATATGGGGCAACCTCCACAACGCAATCGATGCGGTACAATCTTAAACCGCACCTCATTGGTTGCACCGTGTTATCATAAAACTTGCTGTGCCAATATGCGTTATGCTACACCATCCGACGCTACCGTAAATTGTGTTATGCTATGCTGCGGGGCAATATAGGCCGTTGGTAGAACTGTGTTTAGTAGAACCTGGTTTAGTGATCTGTACCAGGGGCGCCCCCCCGTCCCATTTCCACTACCCGGAACTGCCGTCACCCGAAAAACACCAGTTACGGCAAACCTGGTTTAGTGATTCTGGCCAACTCAAAGGCTCCAGGGCCCTACCACTGACCGGGTCCCCTTGCCCGGGGCCCTGGCCATACCCGACAATAGGCGGCGACGGACGGCGGCGACGGGCAGCGCCAGGCAACGGCGGGCCGGCCGGACCAGCACCGGGGTCCAATGCAAACCCAGAGATCCGACGTCGTGATTTTTTCAATACGGGATCCCACCATCTCCCCGCGTGGTGGGGGCTGGCACGACACTCGTTCCAGGGTCGCCCCCGCGTGAGCACACCTAGCTAGCCCGTTCCTCCTCTCCTTCGGGGGCTTGCAAACAGCCTGCACCATTCCCGGCAATCTCGACCCATTCTCCAGGACCGGCTTTTCGTCCTGAGTCGTTTTCTGAGGGTCCCGAGGCCCGGCGAGGGCCCCTAGAGGCCCAATTTTTGTTTGTTTTGACAAAAAAAAAAAAAAACGAAAAAAAAACTCCGTCCTGAATGTTTCAAGACGTTGGAGCTCTAGGAGTGGCGGCGACGGACGGGCGGCGCCGGGAGGCGACGAGGCCGGCCGGACTGGCACAAAGGGGCCCAGGCGGCCAATGATAGGGGCGGCGGCGGGCCGGCCGGAGCGGCACAGGAAGGGCCCGTAGTGCAAAACATGCGGCGGCGGGCGGCGGGCCACGGGCGGCGGCGAGCCGGCTCTCGGCCGGCATCGGGTGCCCAGGGTTACTCCAGATTTCGTGATAAAGGGAGGGGGGTCTCATTTCGGGGGGGGGCTCTTCCAGGCTATCTTGGAGGGCCTGGGGGGGTCTGGGGACGATGTTCTGGAGGGTTCTCCCACGGGGGAGGTCTGAAGTGGCTTGTCTTGGAGGGTCCAGACCCCCGCCCTTTTATTACGAAATCTGGAGTACCCTATAGAGCACCAGGAACAACCCCCAAGTTTGCTAGCGTGGACCCGAAACAGTGTTGATCTGGCAACATGTGTAGGGTCTACGTGGAGCCATACATGTGATGCAAGTACGACGTCATTCCAAACAACTGTCGTATAGATCTCCAGACTGTGTGGAAACCTACTGTGTTTGATTTGTTCGCTGAGAAAGGCAATCGACGAATCCAGATCTGCAAGATCTCCGAAGCCTCCGATAACAGCGGTGTTTTCCTGGTCCCAGAAAGTTGCCGCTCCAATTTTGAGATAGCGTCTGCAATCTGAGTGCAGATACTGGGCGCTGTACCAGAGCGCGCGAATGAACCTGAGATGCATCTTCTAATTTCTCTACCCGAGAAGTAACACTGCCGATATTCAAACGTTCCAGTGCCAACACATACTCAAGATCTTCATTCGATACCCCATGGTTACTGATAGCGGCAATATCGGTGTGGACAGGGCCCGATTGTGTCTGCAATTAGTTCCCCAGCGCGCCCATGTTGACAGCATTTGACGAAAAAGAAGCACTGTTGTGCAAAATGGGCTCTGACTTGGATCCACCCGCCGCTGCCAAACTTACTTGAAATTGACGTTGACGACGCTGCACCTGCGAACCATCAAGAACGGTTTCTGCCCGTGTGACTGCTTCCTTTTCCTGTGAGGGGTTGCTTCTCCTGGCCTGCTTCAAGACACTCTTCACTGGAGCCCTTCTATGGTTTCTTTTTCGCTGGCATTACAGAATCGGAGAGGTCGCGATCGTAGCGCAAGCGGACTGTTTGGGCAAGCGTAAGCGGACTGTATCGGCTGGTAAGGACGACGAGAAAGAGCCCAGTCTTGGGAGCCCGTTGGATCGGGCCAACGGAATGAACTTGAGCCAGAGTTCCCTGAGCCGAAGTTCCCATAGGGAGCCCACAAAAGGACGTACGCGCCCAGCCATCTACATGAGTACGGCCCCCCAGTCCGCGAGACCAGCCTCGCGTTACGAACGTTCGCACACTGCGTACTCTCGAAACCAACGTGTCTGGATGTACGTGTACGTCCTTCTTTCGTTCCTGAATGCGCACTGGTATGAAGTGAGTTGCACTCTGGTGAGTTGTTTTGCACTCCAGTGCATACCATCGCACCGCACAATTTGTGCCTGCAGCAACTTCTTGCCGCTGGCTGGGTTCGTGCAACAGGAGCCATCATGCCTCGCCTTACCCTCCAAGCGCGATGCTTGTGCCAAAGGCGGGGTGTTCAGAGGGGTGCGCTCGAGCAATCCAAGAAGCCCTGGCGAGAGGAGCAATAAGCCCTCCACAAATCTCAACGATTCGGCGGCGGCTTCCGCTGGCCCTCGTGGCATCCCGGGCGCCCTGCCGACGCTCTTGGGGCCGTGTGGGGCGCTCGGGGCCCCCCGCTGTCCGCCCTGTGTGCCGTCTCGGGGACATGTCAGGTCCCGGCGGTAGGGGGCCACGTGCGAACCCTACCCCTGCCCCCCACGATTTCTGAGGGGGAGGGGGGGGGGGTCACTTCGCTCGAGAGCTCCCGAGCGACGTGTCCCCCTCAGACATCGTGGGGGGCAGGGGTAGGGTTCGCATGTGGCCCCCTAGGCGGGCCGTTCCGGAGGCCTCTGCGAGCGTTCCGGAGCCCCAGTGGAGCCCCACGGGGCACGCGGGAAGGCCTTGCAGAGTTGTCTCGAGGCGATCCTTGAGGCCTCTGACTCTTGGACCGTTGTGGACGGTCTGAGGAAGAGGCGGGAAGGCGAAAATCCTTGGAAAAAGTACGAAAAGTCAGATCAACAATGCTTGCCAGTCGGCGGCTTCAGTGGCAGACTCCTGTGGCTACTCGGGGTCGACGATCCTTGGGTGGCTCTGAGTCTTCAACGGTCAGCCGTGCAAGCCGTCTTTGAGACGCATGAGGCCATCATGGGGCCTCTGTGGGCATACTGGGAAATCGTGCTGGGCTGTTTGGGGCTGTCTGGAGGCCATCTTGGATGCCTTTGGGGCCGTCGAGAAGGCTGTCAGGCCAGCAAAGGCGGGGCGGGTAAACATCGGAACATCTGATGGAAGTCATCAAATTAGTTCCCGTCGGTGGCTGCTGGAGCGGCATCCTGCGGCCCATGCGAGCACGACGCTCTTGAAGCCGTCTTGCGCGCCTTGGAAGTCCCGCGGTCCTTCCATGACGCTTCCAGACGCGTCCAGGCGGCTCCCATAAAGCCCCAGGATCCTCCCAGAGAGACCGGGGACCCGCCCAGGAAGCTCTGGCCCCCCAGTCTCTGTGCCCAGTAAGCGTGGACTTCTTCATAAACCAGGGCATTGGCACACCCCAGAACCAACCGCAGCCATGGCTCTACGCAGGTTCTCTATTCTTCGCTATCTCCCGCTGGACCTAGCGAAATCCTGGTTTGCAAAGTCCTGGCTTCTGGGGCCCTGAGCTGAAGGGCAACGATAGGGGAACATCGACCTGGAATCGACGATGCAATACCGATGGATCGGCAATATGCCCCCGACAGCGAAACCGAACGCTCCTAACCACGGCGGGGCTCTCGGGCCCCAATCGGCGATCACTGAGCGACTGGAGGTCGATGCATCCCCCCTGAGTGTATCCCCCCTCCCAACGTTGCCCCTGAGGCGACCTGCGGGCCCCTGGACCAGACCCCAGTCACATGTACACATCCGCGGCGAGGCTCGGCGAGGCACAATGGCGACCCGGACGGCCTTCGGGCAGAGGGGGGAGGGAGTAACTTTGCCGGGGGGGGGGGGGGGGGGCGAGCAAGGGAACGAAAGAGGGCGCCCCTACAGCTCGAGGAAGAGTGGAACAGGGGGAGAAGGAGGAGGGCGAAAGGCGAGGGCGAGCGCGCGGCACCGCCAGGGGCGGGGCCCCTGGAGCAGCTGGGGGAAGATCGCGCCCCGGGCGTCCTTGACCTCGTAGAAGAGGTCGCGCTCGAACTGGGCGATGTCCTCCGACCGTCGTCGCGGAGGGAGGTAGAACACCGAAAAGACCGCGCCAGAGGCGCCCCCTCGATTTCAGCCGTTGCGTGCCCCGCGCCGACCGTGAAAGATCTGTCCAAGGGGATGATGAACCGACCTGGGTGGACCCCAGAGGGTTCCGGGAACCCGTTCCGACAGGGTTTTCGCCGGGCAGTCGCGGCTGTCGTCGCAATCCATGGACGTCGATCGTCCTCGTCGACGTCGTCGTCGTCGCTCCAATCGGGCGGTGTCCTCCGAGCTGCACATTGGCTTCAGGTGCACCACCACGTCTCCGGCCAGCCTCGGCGGGGCCGCCGCGGACCGAAAATCGAGAATCAAGGATCGAGGACCGAGGATTCGAAATCGAGGTTCGAGGATAAATCCGGGATCGATCGTGGATCGAAGATCGACTTTTCAAAATACGGGGTTCTGTGACCCAAAAGGGCCGCGAAGAACGTGCGGCGGTCGGCCAGCCTCCTGAATTCTGTAAGGAGCTGAGAAGCACGAGTCCGACGAGGAAGGAGGGCGCGATCGAGGTCGACACAAGGGTCCGCCTGGCGAGGGGGGAATCCCAAACCACATCTGCGCGACGAAAAGAAGCGCGTCTCACGCAAGAGAAGCGACGTACGAGGGCCGCCAGAGTGGCACACCGCGTGGAGAAGAGGGCGTTCACGCGCAAGCTTACGCGGGAAATTTACGCGGGATACGTACTCGCCAATGTCTGCGCAGTCCACCCCGGTTTCTTGCGCCGCTGTCCTCTGGAGCGCCCCCTCCTGTATCTGCTGCTTGTGTTGCTCACGTACAAGCTGGAACATAAGTTACCCAACGTTGTCTGGATGGCTGTCTTGCTACATCAGCCTCCGCTGCAGCAGGGAGGCGATCGCACCACGACCCCAGGCGCACCCAGATCGCCTAGCCTCTACTGCACTGCACGCGCCCGCAGCCAAGAGGCCCGCACACCCAGGAAATCCCCGCCAGTGGCAAGTTCAGCTCGCATCCTTTTGTTGGACAGCACTCCAAGTAACAAAAACTGGAGGGTCTGCCAGCGCAGGCCAGAACATAGTGTACCCGATTTTGTCTGGATGGCTGTCTAGCTACATCAGCCTCTGTTGCAGCAGGGAGGCGATCGCAGTCTCTGCTGCAGTGCGCGCGCCCGCTGTAAAGACGCCCGCACACACACACACACACACACACACACACACACACACACACCGGTTCAGCACGTACCCCTCTGTCGGGAAACACTCGAAGAAAAGCTGGACAGCACAGGCCAAAACATAATTTGCCCAACTTTGT